CTAAACCAAGGTAGATTTAGCCTACATCTAAAGAAGCCATTTTTTACAATGAGGATTGTGAAATACTAGAGGAGGTTGCCCAGAAGAACTGTGGATGCCTTATCCCTGGAAATATTCAAGAGACTGTTGGACAGGGCTCTGAGCAGCCTGATCCAGGGAAAGCTGTCTCTGCTCTTTGCAGGGTTCTTGGTCAAGATGGCCATTCAAGTTCCCTTCCAATCCAAACTGTTCTATACTTCTGTGATCTCTACAAAAACAAGATATATAGATGGGTATAAAAAAATAAGACATCAAGTAAAATTAAAATACTTGTGTCATTCAATACTATCTGTTCTTCAGTGTTCTAGATGTTCATATCTTTGAAAACTTCTACATGTTTATCTAGGAAATAAGTGATGAAACAGGAATGATTGACAACACAGTAGTGATTATTTCTTAGATTTACAAGTATCAAAGCAATTAAGAGCTGAGGCCTGTAATAAATTCTTTTCTGAAATGTACCAGGATTTCTTTTCCCACTGCTTCCCCAGGATTTTTAAATGCTAGCCTTTAAGCTACAATTTCACACAATACTCTGAGTTGGAAGGGGCCCACAAGGATCATCAAGTCCAGTCCTTGGGTGAATGGCCCACACAGAGATTGAACACACAACTTTTGGTGCTGGCATTTTTAGAACCACATTTTAACTAGCTAAACTATTCTAAGGTCACCTATGGCTAGTTTTAGCCTTTCTGGTTAAGACTTGAATAAGTCCTTCAATTTGGTGAAATGCAGAAACCCAGTCTTTTAGAGAATGATAATCTCTGAGTAGAAAAATTCAATCTTCTCATGGTGGTGCCTGATGTCATTTGTCAACTCTCCAGTCAAAGGAAAGAAGAGACAGAGTAGATTTTTTAGTTTCTCCACTGAACAGAGTCTATGCTGGGTACAGAATCATTTATCAGAGTTAACACAACACAATGCAAGATGATAAATCATCATTGAGAATTTACTCTTTTGGGATGTGATTCTATGAATATATTTAACCAGATTTTCTGTGGAAATAATTATGCCGTGTGAGCATTCATACCTGTCTCTCCCTCAGCTGTAGTGAGACAACAGGCAATTGCAATGAAATCTGAAAAAGTGAGGAGGAAACAAAACAACAGGTTCCTAAAAACTTGGTAAATCTCTATATATGGTTAATTAAAAAACAGGGACATTCTGAGTGTGATCTGTGTTGTTGTGACAGGACAGAAAATTCACAGGAGTATAAAAGAAAAAGAAATAGAGACCAGAAAATTCATAGGAGTATAAAAGAAAAAGAAATAGAGATCCTTCATTCATGTCTCAGTCAGAGCTCAACCTTTTCAGATTGACTGGCCAAGGTCAGTCAATCTCAGGATGCAAATGCATTGGGAACTAGATGTCTTGAATTCCAGTGTTGATAGAATTTGATTTTTTCCAAATAGTCTATTTCACAAAAACGAATAAAATTCTTTCATACAGATACAAAATGAAAACACATACTGAACATGAAAAGAATCTATTAAAAACAGCTCTATTAATCATAAATGTCCTCTTTTTGTCCAACATCTAAAAAGCAGGCAAGGTTAGATGAGCAAAATGGTTCTGAGATCTGAACTGAGATGTTGAACTCAGCATGAATCCAATATGAATCATTAAGTGACCAATTGTCTCTCTTAACTTTTCTTCAGGGTAAGTATTTATATTGCCTGATATTCCAACCTCTATTAAAATTCTCTCTTCAACATCTCTCTCAAAGCATGGCACTTGTACCAAGGAGCCAATCAATTGAAACTTTCCTCCAGCTTAGGAAAGTTGGTTAGGCTTTGTACCAACTATTTGGTGATCTCTTACACTGAGCACTGATTTACAAATATAAATAAGTCTCTTGATAGTGCTGAGCATGGTTTTTTCAAGTCATTCAGTAATGGAAAACTAACATCACTGTACTAATATGAATTATTTTATGCAGTTTCCTTTCTAAAATGTATTTAATATTCAAGCTAGAGCAAGGTAAATACTTTATTTTTAAGAATTTTGTCCGAGTGTGCATTTGGGCATTGTAGATTTTTTATGAATCACAAAGAATTAATCTACACCCAGATCTGTATTTTATGCTGGTAAGTTAGCAGAGAATCTCACATATTCTCTGAGGTGCGTCAAGAAATTTAAACTGTTCTGGTTTCCAAAGAAATTTAAACTTTTTGGGTTCCCCCCCCCCCCTCCCCACATAAGAGAATTTGTTTGATTTCTCTTAACTCTGTAACTGTTATTCAAGTGTGTTCTTACTAGAGCTCTAAATGAATTAACAGAGAGCTCAGAGCTTGGTGAAGGTACCTGGTAAGTGGCTGGCACAACTGAAGACTAAAAGGATAAGAGCATCCACTAAAGAGAGGGCTGACAGGGGTGTACTTACAACTTTAACTCCTGGAAGCACCACTGATCACAGATTTAAGGTGGATCTGCCTCAAATTAGTTGTCTATGTCAAGTCTCACTGAAGCCTTTTAATCACAAATCCCCAAGTATTTTTTAACTGCAAACTAGGGCACAACATTTTAAATAGAAACAATTGAGTAACATTATTTCAAAGAGGATTTTTTTTTTTTTAAAGCTTTCTTCAAAAGCCCCCTGTAACCTTGCAGTCACCTTCCTGGTACACCAGCATGGTCTTGGGCAGCTCGGGGATGCTCAGCAAGCCCTGCGCTGTCCTTCCCACCAGACCATTAGCACTGTTTGCTCTTGGCATTTTTGGGACCCTCCTGATCTGCCCTCCAGCTGCACACCAGACACTTCTGCCAACATGCACACAGTAGTCTTATTTTACCCCAAGAGATGGGGACATCTCTTCACCCTGGGGCAAGGTTCATACCAATACCAGTAACTCTTTTCAGGAACAGGTCCCACAAATTCACGTCACCTGAGGATGAAGGTAACCTCCTAGGAATTAAATTAATAATATATATAGACACTGGGAAGTGTTCTGAAGCAATCAGTCCCTTACCACCTTCCCTTCCATTCTATTATTTAAAAAAACAGCAAGTAAGAGTGCTTTTTCCCTAATACACCCTTAAACTTGTTTTTCCCACATTTTAAAATCTTTAAATTGTACTGACCATTTAAAAATGTGTATACATTTCATGAAGAAAATCTTGGATGGTTTTGGGGATGCAGAATTCTGTGATTTGAATAACTGTACTACAATGTAAAGTTTATTACCAGCTGTTTGATATTGTCAAACTACATTTTTCTCTCAACAGCAGAAAGCTTAATATATTTTGCAGTTTTGCCATTAAATACAGAGAGATGATTTCCCTCTAATTTCTAAAAGCAGTTTTGTGGAAGAAAATGGGTAATCAACGTGGAAAATGTCTTTTTTTCTGAAAACGCTTTTAGTCTGACATAAATGACAGCTATTTAAAGGCAATCACTTGTATTTTATATCTCACACAAAAACCAGCAGACACAGTACCCTGCCTTTGAGACAAAACACTGATACATGTGACAGAACATTTCAAGCAGTATTAATCAGAAGCCACAGATCCAGCATTATCAAGAAAACAACTGAAACATTGTCCATTAAGATCTGTATCTCTTTTTGCTATTGTTTTTCAGCCTTTAGCTGATATTACGCTGCACTATGAATGACCAGTTATCTGCATCTGACAGGTACAGGAGATGCAAATCACATTTGTTCTGCAGTATGTACACTGATGACTTACACATCTGTTAAAAATAAAGTGCTTTTCAAAATATCACCCAGGAGGCATGCGTTCTGTTTTCTGTTCAGTGACCTTTGGAAACTCTAGACCAATGAATAACTAGTGATGCACGAGTAAGTTGGGAGACAGTAGCAGCAAAGTGCCTATAACCCTATATGTTATCTGTTATGGAGACGGCTATGATAAAAAGATACATTGCTCTTTCATAATTTGCCTGAGAGAGCAAATCAATGAGAACATAGACTTGTATCCCCTTAAGTTTAATGGTTATGGAATTCATTATCCTGGACAATTAAAAATATAATATGCAGAGAAAGTGCAGTGAATTATATCATTTAAGTATCTAATTTAATGGTAATTTGCTACCTTATAGGCATTTGCTCACATGGCATCAACCACATCTTGATAAATCTGGCCTTCTATTCAATCATTTTATGTAGAAAGAAGCTGAACTGTGCTTCAAGATAGAAAAACTTCATATTCCCAAGATGCTGGTAGAACACTAAAGGAATTCAGCAATGACATTCTTGCATCTGTTAGAAAGCTTTGTAAGCATTATGACATATTACAAAGCTTAGACTTTCTTTTTCACGCCCTACATGGCCCATATGGCCTCGATCTGTGTCAGACAAAGTCAGCACTGTAAGACAACAGCTATGCAACCAAAAGGCAAGGAAAAACCACCAAATCCAGGGAGACACGGCACAGCACATATGGCTTTGCTTTTGGTGCTACATTACCAACAAAGCCTTCACTGCAAGCCCTGATTACAGCTCAGGTAACTCAAACTTTGAGTAAGCATATCTTTGAAGCACAGCTATGGTCCATGGCTTTTATGTAGCCACTTGAACATTAAAAACCTTTTTGAAATTTTTTTTTATAGTACAACAGTACATGTCCTCTATCACACTCATATGCCAGAAAACCAAAGATTTTTAAAGAGAAAACATTCCACCATTCCAGTTGACAAGCTAAAAAAGGAGTTACTAAGTCATAGAGGGTCTTCACAACAACCAAACACCCAACTGAGTACTGACAAGAGTTATGAGGAAGAAAAGCATTCTGAATACAAGTAGGTAAACCATAAACTTCTTAACAGCATGAAAGACTTACCTGTTGTATCACTCACATTTTTACAGTTTAGAATAAACAGTGGACACCTTTATTCAAAATGTGAACAAATATATTCTTAACCAATTTTTATTTCATAATTAATCACATTGTTTTTATTACAGATTATATTTTTCCTATAAGAAAGAATAAATCACACTTACCCTCTCCAAAGTAATTTCTTCAAATTCATATTCAATTTCTGTTCCATTGACCTAAAGAAAATAAAATCAGAAAATTCTTTAAATCACATGGAGGGTAACTTCATAGGCATACTGTACAGCTGTTCCAGTATCATCAGTTTACTGAAGCACATTTTTCAACATAGAAATGAGGAGCTCTAAGGTACAGAATAAAGTTCTAAAGTACTTAACTCCCCTTTGTCTTGGGGCGGGGGGGGGGGGGGGGGGGGGAATAGTCAAGCCTCTAAACTGAAAATAGTAAAATTTCAGTATGTAATAGCTATATAAATCACCAACATAATAAGATTGATATTTGATAAAACATCTTTGTGGACTTTGTGCCATTGTTTAAATTGTTTCCAAGGTAATAATTTCAAGTCAAAATAGAAGACTTTCTTCTAATATTCTCACAATAAAAGAAAAATTATTTAGACATTGTCTTACAAGCTCCAATTTACATTGAAATACAAAACCAGACAGGAAATTCACAGTACTTATATAAAAATTACTCACTGATACATACACTGAAATACATCTTGTTTACTATATTAACCTAGGGCAAGAACATGACAGAGAACCTTTGCAAGAGACAGCTGAATGGCAAAAAGGCACAGAATGTTAATGTAATTCCTATGCTGAGTCCCAGTGTCAAAGCAAATTAAGCTACAAAATGCAGAGCACCAAAATGGACTGTGCTGGACAAGAAATCTATCAGCTGAAGAGATGACACTGATTTAAGCAGTATTCCAAAATCTTGTTCCAGTCTGACAAGGATTATTTTTGTCCCTCCAGGCAACTCACATAGCATATCTTTCTCCCTCTTCTCATTTCTTGAATGGGTGGAGTAGAGGATCTGAGAAAGCTACAAAGGCTCACTGTATTGCAGGTAAACTACAGAGCAATGAAAATATATATATCATTAAAATCTCAGAAGAATTTCAAAGTATCACTTCCATACAACTAGTCAGCAATTTTTGACTTGGCCAGAAAGTATTGATTAAAAAAATAATAATAAGAAAAATTTATTAATCATGCTGTTTTAGTTTCTGAAATGATGGGATATGTCCTGGAAAATAGTTTTGCTTTAGTGTCTTACTTAATTTACACTTAATGAAAAAAAAAAAAAATTCTCAAGACCTAAACTGAAGGAAAGGACTGGCATTGGCTTCATTTTGGAGAAAAAAAATGTTTTATTTCTCCAAACATGAACATTTATCACTCCTCCCTACTCCCAACTGCTAATTTTCTGCATTAGATTCCTAACTGCAATCATAAAACACTGTATATAAATCATTCTTTATCTCGTCAAGCACCTTTCAAATGTAATTAGGTACTTCTCTTGTGAATATTTTAACAAGACACATGTATCTGCCAAACAAAAGCTTCCTCTAAATTCCACCAACTATTTAATTTGTTTACAATTCAAGATGTGATAAACCATGAAATCAGTAATAGAAATACAATCTCCAGAATCTGTGTTGAAAAGGAGAGAGAGAAAAGTCCAAACAAACAACTCATGCTTAACAATTGCAGGAAAACACAGCATCAATGAATATAATATTCAATATGCACATAGTATTTGAGTTTTTTAGTTTATTAGCATAGGGTAATCACATCACATTACACTTACACCAGAGATGAACAAAAATATTTTACTACAAGATATCTTCCTGCCCAATGCTATCACTTTAATGCTTTCTGCATAGACTCTTTTATTAATATAGGCAACTTACTACATATGAAGACCTTTATAGCTATTCCATTTTTTGTCCTTTCTTGTCTAATGATAATGAAACCAAAGCCATCTATATGTCTCTGTTTTCATGAACTTCTCTTTCATCTTAGGTTAGTGGATAGCTCTGATCTATGCCTTCAATTCCTCAGTCTTGCTCTATAAAGCTGTCTTTGCTTCACTGCTTATAATCGCTTTTCCTTTGCATTAAAAACTCATTAGTGCAGCAAAATGGGAAAAAGAGGGATATGAGAAGTGAGCAACCTCTGTGGAAAGATGAAAGGAGAAAACACAAGCTGAATACTCAATTTGTATTTGCACACAAACGCTATCTTGCTTATGACCATCTGAGGGGTTTCTATTATCATCCACAGTGGCGATTCTGAAAATGCCTTCAATTCAAATCAAAATTAATTGCAGTACAGATCCATTATCAGGCTCCATAGCAGCAGGGGTGATATGAATTAAAAAGTTGATCTTGAGCAGTTCCTTTTGTTACTTAAACATACATGTCTGCATATACCGTTCACTGCCTTGTTTGTTTTGCTGGTTGCTCAGCAAACCAATGCAATTATTTATTAAAGAATCCAATAAGATACTGTACCCACCCGAGGCAGATGGAATGATGCTTTATGCAGTACCACTCATTGCTAGCACCATTTAACTCCACATTTAGACTCTCTGGCTGCATCTACACTGCTAAATTATAGTCAGTTTTCAGCCAAGTCTCAGCGCTTAGGGCTGTTTCTGTCTGGAGCCTGCTGGAAGCAAATGGCCAAGGACTGAGCCAACAATTAAGCAGAAAGAGAATCATGGCTCCAGCACTGGAACTAGCTTGTTGGTGCTCCCATTTAGCAGCATATGGACATACCCTCTGCTTTTGTACATTTTAACTTGACAGTCTCTGGCCTGTCAAGGCACCTAAACAAGCTGCCTGAACCTGCAACTTCAATTTCTTGCAAGTAGTAGCAATCTACTCTTGTGTCTCTCTTTGCATGACTTTTCTAATCCTGCTTTTATATCAGATTGCAGCAAGAACAGAAAGCAAAATTTACTACAGTCTCCATGATTTTAGATAACTATGAAAAATTAAAAACATTTTCATTCAGTTTTCTCTTCTCCACAATCAAAGAAATCATCACATTTTCCAGTTGTTTGGGAAAAATTCTTTCTCATCTTCCCAGAGTGCAAGCTTGTCATGACAGATATCTTTAGTTTCAAGTAAAATTTACATTTATAATGCTGAAATATGAGGTAGTCATCTAACTCTATACTCAAATGAGTAAAAATAGGCATATGAAGGTCTTAATTAATTTCATCCTCCTCTAAGTGAAGTGAAGTGAATTGTGCTCAATTGTGCTCGGAAATTTCCTTTCACTATGTACAAAGAGAATCTAAAAATGATGTGTGAAGTTAGGTGAGCACTTGCCTTACATTTGTTTTCTCTGCATTTCTCCTGGCTACAGTCTGGTAACAAATTTCTGCTTAAGGGATGCTGTATATCTTTTATAATTGTGCACCACTGAAAGGCCGGATCTCCGGTTTAGCAGCTTTTCCAATTGCTTTTTCAGGCTTGTCTGCACCTGTAACTGGCAGCACATGCCTGGCATGGTATCCAGCACCTACTCCCACAAGCCCAACCTATAAGGATATCCACAAGGAACAACTCAATCTTTCCCCTTCTCCAAAAGCCAAGAAACACTGCTCTTGGCTTCTGTCTCTGGATTTGGGACATGGATGTGCACTCCTCTGAGAAAGATGCTCAACAGCACCTGTGACAGCAAGGGCAGCAGAAGTGGGTAAGGGGTACACAACATGAAGTCCATGGGAGGACACAACCAACTGCATCCTTTCTCCAGAGCACAGGAGCTGGAATCAACACGTGTCTCATCCAGGAACTTGTATTTCCAGCAGGAGAAAAAAGATACTAATGACCAGGACAAAATGTAAAAGCGCTACTTGGGAGCAGACGTGCATGAAATCTTTAGATAATTTTGAGGGTCTCAGCTGCATGGCCAACACACACTCGCAAGGCAAGAATATTCTCAGCCTCCTGATCTTACATGTGTTCATGATCCAGAGCATGATGAATGCACATCCCTTCTAGATTAAGTTACCAAAATTTAATTAAGCTCCAATGTTTAAAAGAACCCCCCAAAGGCAAGCTAACAGTTGCCTTTCATTTAAACTGCACCTGTTATTCTAGAGGATTCTCCAAAACATTTGACAAGAAAAGGTCTTAAAGAAAGAGAGACATAATGTAGGGTAACTATCTAGACTCAACTATTCAAAAGAAATTTCCTGGCAAAGCTCTCATCGCTATTAGAGTTCACTTACCTCTCTAAGAAGAAAACACTACTCATCTTCAGGGACACCTACTTTCAGGAGAGTGAGAAATAAGAAACAGGTAGAGAGGTTTTTATACACAATTTTGTGAAAAATCTGAAGCACAGCATACAGAATGCCAAAGTAAGGATGTGACAAACTCAGATTCGTTTGTTCCTGTATGTGAAGATTCCTAACTTTTCAGGAAGTTTCTCTCCTTTACTGCAGTTTAAGAGTGACATGAGCAGCTGAAGTAGTCCCTTACTGAAAAATCTGCTCTACAGATTATGCTAAATTCCTAAAACCCTTGAGACAAGCATTCTGCTGAGTTTTTCATTTTCTGACACATATTCCGCCATTTCATTAATATTTTAAGGTATTTTTTCTCACAATTTGATGCTCTTTTTATTCTACTTCTGCAATTATTTGATGGACTTGTTTACACTTGAAAAGTAAACATTGCAGAATTCTTTCTTGCTATACTTCAACTACAACTGCATTCACACAATAAGATATATATTTCATAACATTAATTTTAGTGGTAAGAACTGCATTATGATAGCAGCAACAATCTAATCAAGACATACAGTTTATTCAACTGCAAGATTTCAAAACCCCTGGACCTATCCTTTCTATCCTATCCATCAGAGCCATTTGTTATGCTAAGTCTTATTTTCAAGAAGATATTGTTTTGCCTAAAAATTACATCTGTAGACTTTTAGTTCAAGCAAAACTCATTTTAATCATATTTAATTGGGTATTGTTTTTCAGAAAACTGCAAGAAAGAAGACTGCTGCTGCTACTTCTGCTACCATATGCATGGGAAGATAACTTCCCCGACAATGATTTTCATTCAACATGCAAAATCTTTTCCTTTGGCTGTATGGTTTCACCAGTTGTGTCGTTACCCAAACCTCAGCAGAATACAAGATTGCCAAATTCTGGTTGTACAAGTAACCTCAGGAGATATTTGTCC